ACATCGCTCATCGAGCCACTTCGTTGACGCAATCTTCCACCCAGTCTCAACCAGTTACGACCGCAAATTTAACAGGCGTTAGAAAATGTCAACGCCCATACTGCAAACAGAATTTTAATCAGATCCGGTAGTAGTGAGTAATAACAAAACCCATTTTCAATCTTCTTAAAATGAAACTATACAAACATTAGTCGAGTCTTTGGCAGACATTTTTATAAACAAAATTGTACTCGTACACCTTCAGTTTTCCCTAGAGTTTCAAATAGCTTTACAAAATGTAATACTTTTCATAATCCCCATTTCCAGGATGAAAATTTTTCGAACCCATTTCCTAAGAATCGGAATTTTTCCAACTATTCAAATTCAGATAGAAATCATGTAAATGATTTCTATAACACGAAAAAACCAAATTATAGAGCAGTGCCTTATCCCGCATATAATTCTTACATAAAACATGTTGGCCGTTCTGATTTTAAAACATCTTTTAACCGTTCATCTGGTTCTTTTAATAAACCGACCAAGACAAATTCTAATGTGTTTCCTAGTCTTTAAATAAAACCCTCTTACCTAAACCAATTTCTTTTGTACCTGCTGTTCGTGAAACATCGTCTAATGTAGAAAATTCTCTGAAAACCTCAATTCTTCAAACTTTCTCACCATTAAATATAGAACAGATCAGTACAAAATATGTTCGAGGTTGGCCCATACTTAACCAGAGTGGGGACGTGTCTTCTATACAAAATAAAGATCAGTTGGTAATACCTAGTCCGTTAGAATTAACTCGACGACCTGACTCTTTCTTGTAAGTTTCTAGAAATTCTAAGGATATTGATGATAATATTTTGGGCATTTTAATCCAACTAAAAAAATAAAGGAACAAGTGTTCTGGCTTCGAATATCCCGGGGAGCCGCAAAAATTTCTTATTGACATTTTTCAACGATTTTGAATAAAAAGCGTTTCTGGTTTCGAACCTCACTTCTCATCACAAACGCTTGGGGACGTCTGTAGGGTGGTGACCCACCCTTAGTATTCTCTGAAAAATGTCACTTGTCTTGAAGAATTCTGTACTTATCTTACTTATATTTTTGTAATATTAAAATATCCCTAATTGAATATTATTATTTAATTACAATTTTATGCTTTTAGTTATAGGCAACTGCTTGTACAGCTGTGTATTTTTGGTATTATAATCATTATTATTTTATAATAATGTAATAATTGGGTTTAGAAGATTATTGTGAATTATCTAGTTATCGTAAATAGGTTACTTATTTAATTAATATTTGAAGTAGTGCTGTTAATCCTTAAAAAGAATTGACAGAAACTTTTACGATGCGCATGCATAAAGAAGTTTCTACGGTTTTTGGACGAGTCCATTATTTGATGATGGTGGGAAGGAGGCTCGAAAAAAAGGTTTTTTCGATTGAATTATTAGGGTGTTGGCTGTTGGTGACTACACACGTGAAGCGAATATTAATAAACAGAAAAACTTCTAAAAGAATATGGTAATCTTCGTACATTGTGGTTCTTTCATATTAGAAGAATATACAGGTTAGTCTGATATTATTTATAATACATATTTTGTTGTAAATGATTGATTTACATGTTTTAATTTCTCCAACGGCTCCCTATTGAAAATGCCATATAGAACCATATAAAAACACGTATCTGGATTCTATATGGTTTCTATCTGGTTCAATATAGGTATTTGAAACAGGCATTTCACTATAGAACCAGATAGAAGATTACATTATAGAACCAGATAAAAACACTCTAAAACACTATAGAACCAGATAGGGAAACCTATCTGGAAATACATATAGAACAGAAACCAGATAAATCCATATACATCCATATACATGTCTTTATAAAGACATGTATATGGTTGTATATGGATTTATCTGGTTTCTGTTCTATATGTATTTCCAGATAGGTTTCCCTATATGGTTGAATATGAAAATTTTTAAAATGGAAATCCATATTCAACCATATAGAATCCGTAATGTAAACCAGGACTTTCCATATAGGACCTATAAAACCATATAGAACCAGATACGTTTCCTTATCGGATTCAATATGGGTTCTATATGGCATTTTCAATAGGGCTGCCATTACGCAATGCTTGTAGTCACATACCTCAAACAAATGCCTATTTTTCTCAATTATTTATTATTTAGAAAAACATTGAATTAAACTTTGATTTATATTTTAAATGCTATAATAAACATACGTTTACAAATATTACAAATTATTAGAATACATAATGTTAAACGTTATTATGAAATTATCAAATTACACACTCTTAAACTAAATTGGTATCAATATTACATTTAGTATTATTATTGTGATTGGTCCAGTTTTACAGTTTGATTAATATCTGTGTTTTCAATTGACTTATCGAGACAAGTGAAAAATAACACTATTTATTATTAGGGTTTAAGGTCCCTTGATTTATGTATATGATTTGACCATGCTCCTTGAAGATTAAATATAAAAAGTTACAACAAACAAATATATCGCCTTAAATGGCACAATAATAAATATGTCGCCTAAATGGCACAATAACAAATATATCGCCTTAAATGGCACAATAATAAATATGTCGCCTAAATGGCACAATAACAAATATATCGCCTTAAATGGCACAATAATAAATATGTCGCCTAAATGGCACAATAACAAATATATCGCCAAAATGGCACAATAAGAAATGTGTCACCTGTGTCACAATTAAAAGTATATTACCTAAAGGGTAAATACAACAATATTATTACCAAAATGGTTTACAAACTTGCCTAAATGGCTTTACACACAATAAGTTGTTAACACCGTCGTTATTTTTATCGACGAGGTTCAGGGTCTCAGTATATATTCTTGGTTCACCACTCTACCTGCACGGTATAATTGGAATGATTTTGACTACTATTATGTTTTGGATCAGGGTCTCCTTGGATTGACCATAATCCTAACCTTACTTTAACTACGCGAATACGGCACGGTATAATTGGAATGATTTTGAATACTATTATGTTTTGGATCAGGGTCTCCTTGGATTGACCATAATCCTAACCTTACTTTAACTACGCGAATACGGCACGGTATAATTGGAATGATTTTGGATACTATTATGTTTTGGATCAGGGTCTCCTTGGATTGACCATAATCCTAACCTTATTTTAACTACGCGAATACGGCACGGTATAATTGGAATGATTTTGACTACTATTATGTTTTGGATCAGGGTCTCCTTGGATTGACCATAATCCTAACCTTACTTTAACTACGCGAATACGGCACGGTATAATTGGAATGATTTTGAATACTATTATGTTTTGGATCAGGGTCTCCTTGGATTGACCATAATCCTAACCTTACTTTAACTACGCGAATACGGCACGGTATAATTGGAATGATTTTGACTACTATTATGTTTTGGATCAGGGTCTCCTTGGATTGACCATAATCCTAACCTTACTTTAACTACGCGAATACGGCACGGTATAATTGGAATGATTTTGACTACTATTATGTTTTGGATCAGGGTCTCCTTGGATTGACCATAACCCTAACCTTATTTTAACTACGCAAATTGCAGACATTTAGATCTTGTTTCGAGCATTGATTGAGTTGTAGTAAAATAATTTATTTAAGTACTGGACCAAAGAAATATTTAAAATTACTTATATGTTCATACAAGTGTACAATATTGACAAGATTACAAATGAAATTAATTAACTCTTTACTCAACGTTTTACCGGGTTTTTTTTTAAACCACAGAGAAATAGTGGCACCTCTGATCTTATAAATAAATAAGTCATAAAATGAGCATGCTAGTGTTTTATTTAAACAATTCCTGACAATAAGTAAGTATGATACCTTGAAAAAGAACTGTAGTTACTATGTAGGTTTTTAGTTAAACATTTCACAACGAGACGATTACAGCTATTTGGCCAATTAAATTAAACCTTATATTATTATTATTTTTTTGTATTACCCTTTTTCATTAAACGATGAGGCAGGGGTCTCCACCTTACAACATATAGCAGAGATTTGACGTGTTCTATATTGTACTAATTGCAATTTCTTTGAACAAATAATATCTATTCTATTCTATTCTATATAATGATGATATTGTTTTCATAGCAGAACCCAACTTGTTAAAAGTTAAAAGAGTTAACAAGAAGCTGGGAAGAAGAAAAAGAAAAAATGCAGATGGATATAAATATAGGAAAATGGGAATCAATCATCTTCAACAATATATTACCACAGGGTAAGAGGACAATATAAATCAAGGAACAAGATTTAGAACAAGAATCAACGTTTGAATATCTAGACAACATAATTTAGGACAATGAAAAAATGGAAGGCTAGGCTAATCGAGCAAATAAAAGTACCAAATTTTATTATGCTGTAAATAAAACAATATTAGGAAAGCAAAAAGGCTGAAGTAAGAACGTTACAATAGCAATACCTGTAATAACATATGGATGCGACTCATCATTAGAATTAAAAGAAGACAGTTGGGATGGTACTGGCATACAGATGCTGGGAGAAAATGCATTAGTAAACAAAGTAATTAAAGCTGGTTAGACCGGCAAAAGAAAAAGGGGAAGGCCAAACAAAACATGGAATAATAAAATCAAGAAAATTGGCGCAAAAAGAGGAGCTATAGAAAATGGTTCGGAAAAAACCTACATGAAAAAACTGAATAAAACTCAATAAGGGTTTTACTTTGCAGAAGAATATTTATTAATATTATTTGTGACATTTAATTCTAAAGTGGAAACAATCGGCGTGTGTTTATTATAAGAAATATAAACAAATTTAAAAATTTTGGAAACTGTTAAAATGTATCCTACCATTTTTTATATTTAAACTGCTGTGCAAATTTTGTTCGAATATTCTAATAAAGCATATGCGCGCTGCGTCTTAGTTACATAGTACAGTGATTCTGTCCGAAAAAATAAATAATTTTTAATTTTTTTCTCAAATAACTCACCATGCAAGGTGTGCTGTGGATTATCGATAATCCGTATCTGTCGGTCGGGCATGATCGGCTCGCCTTCGGGTCCGCCCACCTCGCTTGGCAACTGCCACCTGGCGGCGTCTTCTTCGAACTTCGATCTCGGGAAATATAAAGGCAATAACACTTCGTATATACCTAAATCTAATTTATCTACCACGAAAATAACAGTGTCCAAACAGCTACCGTGCCGCTCCAAAAAACGACGAACAGAACCTAAAAGAAATAGAGGAAACAAATTTTAAAAACGTTTTTCTTTTCGTACTGACGAATATATTAATGTATGTTTTAATTTATTAATATTTTTTTCATACCTAAACATGTGAGATTTAAACGGAAAATCAAAACCAAATACTAATTTGGTTTTGATTTTCCGTTTAAATCTCACTTGTTTAGTTGTAAAAAAATATTAATGAAATAAAACATACATTCATTTACGTGGACATATGTGGGTGTGGTAATATAAATTAACCTTCTAAGTCTCTTTATAAGGCTTCTTTCCGTACGTGTATAAAAAATAATCTCACTTGTTGCAAGCGTCGACGAAATATTCAATACAGTATTGTCGCCTATTATAATAATTTATATTATCTACAGATAAAGGTTTTTGTTATCGGGAAATATGTTTCTTTAACAAAATCGCTGTTATTTTTATCCTAGACTGTGGTTTGTTCTTTATTTTTTACTTATCGCACAATCCATTGTGTGCATCGTGATTTATCGTATTGACTTAAACAATATTACGAAATCCAGGCAATACAATTAATTATTTAATAGAAAATCGATAAATCGAAAAGAGTGTGTACGTGTAAAACTTTATAAATAAAAAAAATTAATTAAATTTATAACAAAATTAAAATTTAGCGATCCTGAGATTCCAATATATAGGTCGTCCCGGCACACAGTGGACTGACATAGCTGGCGAAAAACACAATTTGGGTTATTTTGTAATTTGCAAATGTAAACTGATGTTCTTAAAGAAAAAATATTGAATTTGTACGTGGTCTTTGTAAAATTTTAAAATATTTACAAATAAGAGTTGGCCTTAAAAATTATTCAAGTTGTAACTTTAAAACTAATAAAGTTTATCTTATTACAATTTTATAGTTTAAAAAAAAACAACAAACAATATATTTAATAAAAATAATGAAAGTGAAAAATGTTAAGTAGTAAAAAGATTTTTCCTTTGGAATCGAACTGCTCTAATTATATTCATTTTGTAGGGTAGTGGCAGTACATAAAAATTACAGCAGTACATACATACATATGTATTTATCTTATTATTTATAAATATGACAGGACGCTGCTTTTATTTGTTTAAATTAATTCTACTGTTTTTTTTCATCAGGCATTGTTTTTGTTAAAATATACACATGGCAAAATGTAGGTAGGAATATTTATAAATGTGATGTAAAAAAAAATATCTTTAAGTTAGTTATATTGTTATTAATGGTTTTTTAGAAAAACAACAAATATTTTGTATTGCAATACTGTATCTGGAAACTTTTTCTTATTTTCGTGCAAGAAATTTCATCATTATTTTTTTGCAATATAAATAAATCACCCTGTATATTTTAAACATTTTTATCTTTTCTCTGAAATCACTCATTTGTTTTATTTATTCGTTTGGTCATTTATATAAACATTATAATTAATAAAAAATAATTCCGTAAAACAAAATTGCGTCCGCATTTTATATACAGAGTGTTCAAAAAAATCCAAAACAAAAAATACAGTCAAGTCCAGATATAATAAACCCATATAACATTTTGGATTTTATTTTGAGATCACATGATGTGAGACAAAATTTTGCACACACCTTTGGCGCTGGTGACAATACAATCTAGGGTAATCAATATTGTAATTTGTTCAAAATGGCCGCCGCTCCAAGATGACCTTTTTCTATACAACCTCCTTAATATGGATATGAAATGAAATGGTAAATGCCATTATTTTACACTTTTTAGTGTGTTAGAGCTTGTTTTTTTGTTTTATTTTTTAGTTATATGTATTAAATGCTAACCTGGAACCTGCCTCGGAATTTTTACTTATTACGAAGTAAAACGTGGCAAAATAACAAGTACATCGTAATTTTTAAAATATAAAATACACCTTTTTATAAAGCATTCAAATAATATTTATTTTGAATTAAATGTTAAAACAAAGAATTTATTTTTTTAATGAGGAATAATTAGTGATATTACTATTACCTATTATAAATTAATCTTTAATCTTACAGGGAGGGTTGTAAAGAAATAGGTAATCTGCCATCTTTTGACATTACTAACCTTATCGTTTTTGTCAAACCCGTGCATTTTATTGGACGCACAGTTTTCTAGTAAAATTGATTTAAGTTCGTCAATGACCTCACTCGTGAAACACAGGTGAACTCAGAGTGCTGATCATACAACTGTATGCGCATATGAGCTCACATGTGATTTAATTTATGAGAGATCACGAATGGTATCTGAGAAACCAGCTTTTAGTGAACTTTAGATTAATACATTATAAGATTTTCCTCTTTACCAATTTTAATTTATTTTGTAGTTTACTGTATCTGGAGACTTGCCTGTACTTAAAAATAGCCCATATACTTATAAGATACAAATAAAAAAGCTTACGTAGTCCTATGTGAGCTCCCTCGTCTGGAGGATAGTTTCTTTTAACTGAATTAACTACCGGAATCGCTAAAGTATGTATGCCGTTTTCTTTTGATTTTTGTAGTATATTCCTAAAAGTAAAAAATACATAAACACCAGATATTTTTTTTTACTTTAATAATATTAAATTATATTATGGGGCATTTCAAGCGCGCGAAACACACGAATTACAAAACTGTTTTTATAAAAAAAATTGTAGATAATTTATATATAATATTTTGGCATAAAAAATGTCAAAAATATTCTTCTTTTACTAGGCTATACATTAAATAAAAAAACAGAAGAAATATTTTTTATAAAAGTAGAGATAATTGTAATATTTAAAAGGTGTGGACGCGACAAAAAAAAGATTTGTCCCGTCAATTATTAAAATTACCCCTACTTTTGTAAAATATTTCTTGCGTTTTTTTTATTTAATTTATAGCCTAATAAAAGAAGAATATGTTTGACAATTTTGATGCCAAAATATTATATAATAAATTACCTAGCATTTTTTTTATACAAACAGTTTTGTGATTTGTCCCGTCCCCTTTGCTGAAATGGCCCTTATGCCAAAATTAAAATTCAGTTAAAATCCCAACTGTTTATTTCAATTTTAGCAGGTTCCTCATACAGCTTAAAAATGTTTCATTAAAATAAGTAAAAAAGTATAATTTTGTTTCATTTTTTTTTTCCTGAAAACTACATAATATGTATTATAATATTATACATTCCCAGATAACATTTTACCTGCAGTTAAAACTACTGCAGTACCCGCACGCAGCATTTACGTCGAGGGTTGCATTCACTTACAATATAGACTCATGCATAATGGTTTGACTGTTTGACAAGTTTTTGCTGAATTCGCATGCTGAAAGGCAGATATGCAAGCCATGCGGGCACAATTTTTTGTTTCACTTATTGGTTTTATAATCTTTTTTGTATTAAACACTGGCATTATATTACGAGACACTAATTTAGCCAAGATGATCTCTAGCTTCTGCTCCTGACACAGCTGCAGCAGCTTTAGTGACAATTTTCACAAATCGTTCCACTGACTGAGAATGACAAGGGAAACGTGGACAATTAATAACAGGTGTCTCTCCTGTTTCAACCATGTTGTTAACTTCCTCGTTTGTTAAATTAGGCAACACAGGAGGTTCCGTTATTGACAAACGCTCCAATCAATTAATTCTACGTAGTCAGCAGCTTCAAAGTTTGTAGGAACTTAAAACTTTTGAACATTTTTGGTTTGTGGTTTGGACCTGGCCTTCATAATTTGTCTAAGACCAAGTTCTCGAATATGTCTGCGCGGATCGGTTAGCATGGCCAGGAGGATATTTCCATGGTGCCCTCCTTTACCTGAAATATAAAATCCATTCCTATCCCTGACAAACCAATCAGTCGTCGAAAACAAACCGAATCAGTTGCACAAAACAAACCCTTCAGTTGACATCACAATCCAAGCCGAGACACTCCGCCTTCTTCGACAATTATCTCGGGCCGCGACAGTCAGCTTCACCACCGTTGTATGTTACTTCACTATTTTCATTGTAAATAAATAATGTCCTACGAACAAAACTCGTGTTTAAATTCACGAATATAACCCTCGCAAATTGGTGACCCCGACGTGATCGTGAACATTCGTGAATTTTATTTCGTGTGTGAACGTGCAGGGCGCGTAGTAAAAACAATAATGAAAAATATTTCGAAGGCTTTTGCGTGACAAAATGGTGACAAACACGGCCTACAATAGTGACTATCGACCTTCCGGTCTAGGGCAATCACTCCTCTACGCTGCGGTCCACACTGATTTCCAGCACTAAGATCTGCCTCAGTATGAAGCATGAAGGCCAACAACAACAGCCACGGCCCACACTGGTTCCATCACTGAGGTCAACCACAGTTGACAATGGATACCACCAACCAACCATCCAAACGCTGGATGACGGTCACAGCTCAATCATCCAAACACTGGATGACGGCCACAACCACAGCTCTAACGTTGAACAGCTCTAACGCTCAACGGATTTAACCCTCCTCAACGCGAGATGCCCAAAGCAGACATCCCAACGCTGGATGCCCAAAACCATCAGCCCACCACCCACCCAGATGCCCGGACTGTCTACCTCGAGGAACGTCACACGTCATGGGAGACGCGTCAGATTTTCCGAGTACCTGCAGGCAGGATTCAATTTTTTTCCGTCAAATACTGGTAGGGGTACTGTAGCGGCATTACCTCCACATCATAAACACAGACACAATCATAAAATATTTATTATATCTACGTGACAAAATGTACGCTGGACTGTTAAGGCCTACAGTTAATCCCATCCTCAATACAATTTTCTACAGCCCACTTTATCAACACAATATACCGCACCTTATCCTTTGTAGAATTTCTATCCAAATTACTCTCCAAAATCCCAGCAACTCGGAAAAACCTGACCCGAACAAACCAATCAGTCGTTCAAAACAAACCGAATCAGTTGCACAGAACAAACCCTTTAGTTGACACTACAATCCAAGCCTTCTTCGACAATTTCTCGGGCCGCCACAGCCAGCTTCACCACCGATGTTACTATTTTCATTGTAAATCAATAACGTACTATGAAGAAAACACTTGTTTAAATTTACGAATATAACCCCCGCATATGTATCAAAACCATTACGCCCATATATATAATATTTGTATACCACCTACCTATAACATGTATGAAGAGTATTTTCAGATGCTGATTGATATTTAATATTGTATTTAGGTCCTACAGTATGTATAATATATCGAGCTGGCAGTGCATGGCCTTGAGTGACTCTAACCTCTCCAGTTCGACATTCTAAAAAAAAATAAAAAATATATTAAATTTATTTTTTTGTTGTAAGATATTTTGTAAGATGTAGACAGTCCGCACAGTGGGTCCAAAAATTAATGGTTGGGGGATAATAAAAAATATTTTAAATGGTTAAAACTAGGGTTTTAAAGTGTCGGAAAAGAACCGGAAAAAATTGGGAAAACCTGTTTTTTTTCGTTTTTTTCCCAGGCCTTGGAAAAATTGGCTTTTTTGGGAAAAATTGTTTTTTTTAAATATACACATTTAAAAAAAGTAGCAATCAACTTAACATTATTTTAAATAAAAAAAATCCTTTATTACAACAAAACATAAAACTAAACATTAAATTAAATTTAAGAAAATAAACGAAAACGTGAAATATACTGTTTTTTTGTTGCAAAAAGGAGTCCATTAAAAATATCTAACTACAAAATAATGAATACTTTATAAAGTTAAATTACAAATTTTATAAATCGAAGTGTTAAATAAAAGTTATGTTCATATAGCACCGAATAGGTATTTTTTGCGGCCCGGTAGATTATTCTTACTAAGTTAAAATAAAAGGAATAATTATTATAATCATAATATTATACACTGCGCGTCAAAATTAACGCATAATAGGTAAAAAAATTCTAACTAAAACGCCATTACCAATCTTTATGAAATTTTGTAAGAATACTTCAACTTATATCTCAGTTTACGTATTCGAGGGTTTTTCGAGAAAATATTTTTAAAGCCCTTTTATTTAATATTACAAAAACGCTCGAAAAAAACTTTTATAGGGAAGTTTTTTAAGTAAATAAAAAATATGCTGTTAAAGACCGTATTTTTGTGAGTATACCTTGAAAATTTTGTACAAATCAAACGAACAGTAACGAAGATACACCGCTTCAAAGTCGGTAAAAATGACCCCTTTTTTATTATTTTGCTAAAAAGTGGTAATGATTACCGACTTTGAAGCGATGTATCTTCGTGCGTTAATTTTGACGGGCAGTGTATGATTATAATCAGCGTCAGAAATTCACTTTTTTCTCGATATCAGTGTACGGATACTATCTGTAAAAATTTGGAAATTTTTAAAAAAATTGACTTTTGTATTTTTTCGTATTATCCTTTGAATAAAATGTAAAAATGAAAAAGTTAATTTTTCTGAAATTTTCCCAATTTTTCCGTTTTTCCGAAAAAAAAACCGGTTTTTTTCCGCCGGCTCAATTTTTCCGGAAATTTTAAAACCCTAGTTAGAACAAGACTTGAATTAAATTTAAAATGATTTTTTCTCAAAATTTAAACATTTTTTGTAAAGAATTAAATGTCAATTTTGAGCCCACTGTGCAAAAGTGAACTTTTTATTCAAATGCCATGATATGATTGCATTCATTTTCCATTCCGTATTAATGGTGCACGTATATTAAGATTAATTGAATGGAATCGTTTCTGGATGATAAGGAGATATTCGCGTTAACAAAGCAAGCAACAAATTTAAATCAATGATTTAAGAATATCAACGAAAATAAATCTATGCTTGTTAACATTTTTATTTTAATGAAAATAAACTTTAAAAGGTTTTTAAAGTGCAATCAAATTAAGTAACATTGTACTAAGTATACTTGATACCCTTATTGGTTCACAAAGAATATATTTTTAATGATGCAGCTCTAAATTAAATTTGTATATACCGTTTTTAGTTTGGTAAAAAAGCTGACGCATCATAGCAGCATTCGGTTTTGCCGAAGTCTGCTAAACTCATTGCGTACCAAATTATTAAGTTAATGTACTTTTAAAGTTTATTAAGTAACTTAAAATTTTTGGATGCACTATACATTTATCGTGAAAATACCGTATAAAATTCCTAATTATATTTTAGTTTTAAACTAAAGTCAAAGGCCACTTTAAATCAATAATTGATTACATTTTCGCGGCCCTTAACTTTGGGTTACTGTTCGTCGTAGATAAAGTATAGTATGCAACTCGTTTATAAACATCTCTAGACACTCGTTTATATTAAACACTTACTAAAAGGGCGTTTATAAAACTTGATACATAATATTCTATTAACTTTGATGCCTGAAATTTCAGTATTTGATAACTCAATATGCTACCATTTTTTTATTTATTGATTTTTAATATACATAAGTTAAGTAATTTTTTTTATTATTTTAACGATAAAAATATTTACACTCAGTTGTTAACACAATGTTTTGTCACTAGATGACCTTATGGCTGGTTTATAATGGCATTAACCTGGATGCAATCTGGATTCTATATTCTGTACAATTTATACGCTAAAGAAGCATCGGGTTTTAGCAACGCGCGCGCCATCTGGTGGAGTTCAATAGCATTGTTGACAATTCAAGAATTGTCAACAATAAATTTAAGCATAAAAAGTTTGTATTACAAACTGCACATAATTTTTAAATAAATAAGTAGTTTTTTCACAAAAGAGAGGAAGGCTACTCGACAAATTTTGTTCAATTCCTCAGCTTAATCGCTCACGTTATTTGTGTTTTGCGTTGCAAGTAAAAACTAAACAACTTTGGTTTAGTACTCAATTTAGATTTAGTATTCCTTATATCATTGATTAAGATTATAACTATATAGTTACGTTTGTGTGTACTTTACCTAAGTGATTATATGAATTATTGTTTTTAATTGTAAATAAAATTCAAGAACTAAATCGTTGCATTTTCATGTTTTGCCAAAGGATCCAATTCGGTACGTATATTTGTTAGTGAAGAATCAAGTAATGATAACTTTACCTAATATAATTTATATTTAAGTTTGGACATTTTTAAGAACTCTAACAAAAAATATTTGTTGTAGAAACATGACCTTAAAATCGAACATCTTTTCACCGACATTTTATGTTTGACGTTTTTTTGTAATTTTGACTGCATCGTTTGTTGCAGATTATTATAAATAATTTTATACATTGTGTTTATCATATTCTACCACTGTATTGTGCAAACAATGTTATAAGGCTTGTTTGCAACGCCAACAGTTATAAGATTGCAAAGACGCCCTTAATAATAAATTTGGAGAAATAATCAGACTCCAAATCTGACCTGGTTCGCTCTGACGACACAGACGACTGGTAAATTAGTAATTTGTTATGTACTATGCTCCACACTTCAAAGTCCCACCACGTGACCAAGTACGGAACGCAGTCTTTTGATAAATTGTCATTTAAGGCTTTTCAGGTTATGTATCTGTCAAAGTATAGTCAATGCAAGAAATAATATTTATACTGTTACCATTTATGTTTAAGCGTTAAAAGTTAATAAATCTTTATAGTAGCACAGTAACAATGGTTGGTTTAAGAGTTTAGGAGTATAAATACTGCATTTAATGAAATTCTAAAGTGTATAGTGCCAAATAAGTAAAATTTTTGTGCATTAATGGTGCATTAATTGGTCTACATATATCTGGTTTTATCCATTAAATAGTTTTAACTAAACGGCATTTATTAAAAAAATTTAGCTTGTTTATTATGGAATAAGAATATCTGTATCAAAGGTAGGTTAATATATTATAACAAAAAATATCATCAATTTTGAAATTTTAACGTTAGAAAAATCTATTTTGATCAAAATTTTTTTTTTGTACTTTTTTTTGTATATTTGGAAGAGTGTGTTAATATGGTCATATAAATATAGATATACTAAATAATTGTTGAATATGGTTCAAATTAAATTAAAGCTTTTATACTCCTAACAACAAAACTTGTGCATACCTCGGGATCCCTACTTTAAGTTAGATTATAAGGAAACTAACAACTTTTAGAGATACATGCAATGTAAAAATATTTAATACTCCCATAACATGTGATTTTTGAAATTTTTAAAAGTTATAATGATTTTTTGATGAAGATAAAATTCAGTTGAAGCTTTATAAGTAATTGTATTGACAAAACTTTATGTAGGTATACTTTAAGCTGGATAAGAAAAAATACTACAAGTAAAATATTAGATGGAGTATACTGTGGTTTTATTTAAATTTTAGAATTTATAAGGTTATTTATACCTAATGATTGTTCGATGTAGATAAAATTTTGTCGAAGCTTTTATAGGTACTTGTATTGACACTATGGGTAAATTAGCTGACAGTGTAAGGAACTTTAAGAAGGTTTGCTATTGAATTTTTAAAAAGAATTTACAGTTTTTTAAAATTAAGTATCTAATGGTTTTATATTTGAAATGTTTAATATTGCTTATTTCCAAGAGCCAGTTGTTCAATTATGATGTCTATTTTGTTTTACTCCGGCATAAATATTTTCAACTGTAAAACTTAACTATTTTAAGATTTTTAAAATTAATTAAATATATAAAGGGGTTAATTTTAAAGAAGGAATCTAAAAACAACACCTTAAAATTATTAAAATTTGCAAATTATTAAATAATTTTAAATAATGTTTTTTATTATTTTACAAATTTCCAAACTTATTTTTTTTCTATATGTGAGTTTTTGAACTTTTATCGATTTTAGATTCTTTAAATTTTTATTTAAAATATATTATTTTTTGTTTATTTAATTAATCAAAGACGTTTATATGTATTTTCTTAAAATTATATTTAAAATTAAATTGTCTCATTATTTATGAACACCATGTATAATTCTTAATTATATAATTACAAAATAAAACTAATAATATTTTACATACACACATATACATATATACAATATAATTTATTATGTAGGTACTATATTACCTAATCGGGCTCACTGATCCTGATAAGTGTTATATTGAACTAAATAAGGTATACCTATACTTATAAGTAATATCTTTATCAATACAAAAGGATGTGTGTCATTAAGGTTACTTGTATTAATTTAGTAATTATAAATATATATAGACCCCCAAATAGTAATTTTAAACTATTTTTGGATGTCTTGGAAAAAGTTTTTAATGATTTAGGTGTGTCTACAAAAATTGTTGTAACAGGTGATTTTAACGTAAATTTTACCCATTTTAGTAATTCTACTTTTTTATTTATTATTGTTAGATTTAT